GAGAGAACATGACAGCAGAGAGAGAGAGAGAGAGAGAGAGAGAGAGAGAGAGAGAGAGAGAGAGAGAGAGAGAGAGTCTTACGGTTGTCGTGAGCGTGTGTATGATGATCGGACGCGAGGGGAGTTTAGGTATAGGAAGAGAATAATGGATGGAGCGTTGCTGTGATTTTTGGGGAACTGCTTTGATCTTGGTAGCTGCGCCCCTCCTGGTTTCGGAAAATACATTTTTTTAAAAACTTTCTTTTTGCGGGAAAATATATTCTTTTTTAAAACAAAACTTGTTTTTTGGAAAGTGCTTTTTTTTTAAAATTTTCCGGGAAAGTAATCACCGGCGGGGAAGGGAGAGGCGAAGGATCACCCAGGAACGAGGTTCCACTAGCAAAGAGAATTGGAATAGGCCCCTGCTGAATCTGGACGCGTTTTGTGCGGAGATGCAGAAAAGCAGGTCAATCGCGATTTTCTGCACCTTCTTCCTGCTCCACAATCAATTCCACATTCAGGCTTTAAATCCAATCCTCTCTCTTTGATACTGCCTCAGTAGTTGGGACCTTGCCCGGGAACTTCCACGGCAGTGTGTGTGCCGCTAGCAGGTGGGGGGAGAGGGGCGGAAGAGGATTGGATTAGTGCCCGCCCTGGATCTGGACGTAATTCGTGCGGAGATGCAGTAGAGCCCATCAATCGCAATTTTCTGCACCTGTTCGACAATCACGTCCACATTCAGGCTTTACATCCAATCCTCTCTCTCTTTGCTACTGCCTCAGCAGTTGGGACCTTGCTCGCCCCGGGTCTTCCACGGCTGTGTGTGTGTGTGTGCTCCTCCTACCTCTAGCAGTGGGGGAGACCAGCGCAGCGGAAATGAGTCTCTCGCGGGATTTACGAGTGGGGACCGGGCGCCCGATGATGTCCTTCGCTCAGGTCCAGGCTCGCTTCCAGGCTTTGGATGAGAAGGAGGCGGCTTTGAGACAGTACTTCAGGCCGCGACAAGTGGCAGCAGGAAAAGACAGAATCCTGACAGGTGAGGGTCAGGGGGGGTCAGGTCAAGGGGGGGGGCCAAGTCAGGGTGACCGTCGAGCAGCGATGGGAGTGAAGGAGCCGTCGGCGCCGCTGAAGGAGGAGTCTAGGAGGACTATGAAGAAGGCCCAATCTCAATGGTCGGGGGGGCCCAAGACCTCTAGGACTGGACTATCCAGTCGACGACACAGGTGAGCCACGTGGCGCATCCAGCCCCTTTCAGACGCTCAAGTAGCTCTCGTGTCGATCTGGCATATCATGAGTGTTTTTTTTTTTTTTTTTTTTTTTTTTTAA